GCGGATGGGGTTAAATAGTACAACGAAACAGGAAAAATCACGCGAAAACTCAACAACCGGGAAAATTCCTTCGCAACGCGGCAAATTTCTGTCAAAGCCGTAAAGACCCCCTCCCCCCCATGTATTTCACACAACGATGCTGCACCCTGGTTCGAGCTGTCAAAAAACCTTGCTTACGCCCAATCAGATCTAAGGAGGACATACATAAATCCAGGAATCCGGATAGAAGAAAGCACAGTACCTGCCAGATTAAGTAGAGAGCTGCGGAATGTGTGACCCATTCTCGTGCATGGATTCCTGCATCGATCCAAAGGATCGGTTTTTTCACGTTTGAAGGATAACCAATCTGAAAATAACTTCACGTGACAGGAATAAAAGGCCATTCCACGATGTCTTTGTGAGGCGTAATAGTTGAATGCTTCTTCCTATGAGAACAGAGTGGGTTGTGCCCCTAAAGCTCTTTAGCGCTTACCTTGATCGCGTAGATATTCCTGTGTTCACTAGATGTCGCCACGTGCCAGACATAGCTTATTTGTGGAAATCGCTGAGATATTTGAAAAAGGAACGCCATTTGCTGTAAATAGAAGCCTGCTGGTGCATGTAACCTAAGAGCATAAGAGAGTGAAGGAAATCGAAAGGAAGACCACTAACATCATCGAATGAGAGGTATTTCTTCTGGATTATATCCAAAGTGATTTCTCCATCAACTGGCCCGACCAGCGCTCGTCTCTCTCGCCGGACTTCTCGCTCAATGTTACGCACTAAAATATCGTTTTCAGACTGAAGGCTTATTTCACGCTGACCATATAGGAGACTGTGCACGTTGTCCTCTTTAGTGGCACGCTCCTTCTTTCCACCGTATCAGAGCAATGAAAGTCAAGTCAGCGGCACGGGAAATCCCGCAGTTCGAAGTCTGATACATTCGTGGTCCCGCAGATGCAGATTCGAGCGTTGTCTGGTTATCCAACCTTCATCAGCCCTTACAATAGCACTGTTGAAACATGAAGTTAGTCGTCGCGAACCACGCTCAAACTATGCACACAATTACGTTAGCCGCTTTCAACTCTGAGACCTTTAATTTTGAATGACTATTTTTCCAGGCAAGGCTTACAACAGGGGCCCAAATTTTCGCAAATGTGAAAGTCAGCTGCACTCCACATCTCAACGGTGGAGTGGGCGTGGCACCGTTATCTGACATTTGACATTCTTTACTTGAACATGGCCTAGGCTGCGCTGTTCATGGGATTTTTCCATTTGATTTAAATGCCATCTTATCTGGGCTGCAATTGTTTTGGAACAGCAGAAGGATTTTCTCCAAAAGCGCAGCTGCCAGTCCGTTTAAATAGTTCAGCGGGTGCTTCCATCTCTAGGATGGAGCGTAAATGGCACGGTACATCCCGCAGTTCGAAGTCCGATACCCTCGTAGTACCAGAGAGGCTACCCTTTAGGATTCGAGCGCTGTCTATATGTTTGCCACTGGGACCAAGGAAGGATACTTGCCCATATCCAATCTTGGCTGACGCCTTACAGAGTAAGGCTAAGACTTGGATAAGCAAGGATCATCCAACCTGGTTTGAACATGAATCAGGTCACATTGAGTAGATTGCGTTTTTCGTGGGAGGGCCATCTGAAAGGGGTATGAGGCAGTCTGAATGATATTACCACGCTTCCTTTCTAGTGGCTGTTGCTATCATGTTTCTTATAATTATGGAGTTGCGCTACACAGATTTTCAAGGCCGACCAACAATAAAGTTGTTATTCTCCTGATAAGTCAGGTGCTTATTCACTAGATCAGGGCCATCAGAACTTCGCATCGAAAGTGTTAGAACCCGTTTATGACACAACGCTTTGAAGACATATGGTACGCTTAGACACATTGAGGGTGTATGAGACTATCAGCCCCACCTTCGATGTGTCGTGATACCCGAACGCCCAAACTGCACGGTAGGTCAGCAGTTACGGGGCCCTGTGGGGAAAAGTCGTAATATCCTCTGCTAGCGCCGCCCTTTCAGCAACTGGCGTGTTACTAACCAGCCGTCCGCAACGGTGCGAGGTTTCGCGTGCAAGCTCTCTTGGAGGCTTATTTGACAAGTCCTAGTAATAGCGCATTTTGGAATACAAGTACAACAGACAATTTCTTTTATGCGGATAAGTTTTAGTGCTGTAAATAAGAAACGAAGATGTGCGAGGGCTAGAACTCAAGAGCAACTGTGGTGCTTCTGCAATATCCCTCAGAGGCCGCGCATTCCCACAGAACATGACAATAAAAACGGCCTAAGCGTCCCACTCGTTAGTTTGAAGTATTTCTATAGCTTTAGAGCCGGATTCGAGCCGGATCGCAGAAATGCACTTTTCAATTTAATTATTTAACTTTATTTATTTTAGATTATTCGGTGATTTCCTTTTAGTTTTTTTCAATTTTGTTTTATTTACATCTACATTCGTTGTTCTTCATTTCTAGCCTTTGTCATCTTCATCACCTTCTATTCGGACTTTGAAGCATGAGCAATACCTCAAATGTTAGGAAATTGCGTTTTGCTTGTATTGTCATGTTTTATTGTCATGTTGTCCGTTTTTATTGTCATGTTCTGTGGGAATGCGCGGCCTCTTTTCAGGGATGTTGCAGAAGCACCACAGATGCTTTGAGTCTAGCGCCCTCGTCATCAATCTTCGAAGTTCTTTTATTTTGCCAGCACCTAAAAATGTTATTCACACATAAAAAAATTGGTTGGTTGTACTTGTATTCCAAGCGCAAATTACTAAGGACTTTCGGCAAAAACCAACGAAGCAGCTGCACGCGACCGCGCCAGCCAGCGACACGCTTGTTAGGTAAAAAAGTGAGTTTTTTGCAAAAACGGTCGGTCGCGCCGTAGCGCGAGGAATTACGAATTCCCACGGTCCCGTACTCTGACCCCGTGCAGTTCTAGGGCGGGGGGGACCACGACACATCGACAGCTCGGGGGGCTGATAGTCTCATACACCCTCAATGTTAGTTTTGAGGTACCATGTTGTCTTATAACTATAAGCTTTAATAATTGCCGGCATTTGTATGCCTAATGTAATTTATTTCATTAAGAAGAAATGAACAGAATGTAAAGAAGCCCACCAACAATACTCATTTTGGGATGCCTTTGATTGTTCAAGAATCCGCTGACACAGGTAAGCAAGATCATTCATACTTCAAGAAGCATTATCGGACTGGTCTGTCCTGGGAGAATCGAAACACCAGCGGGCGATTATGGTGTACTATCATTGAAATTGTTAACATAAATCGCCAGTTATTGTCACCAATTAGGTCTATTAGTAGTGAAGTTCTTCACTATTAAGTTGGCCACGATATATTAGGCACCGGGGCCTGAATTATAGCGGGGATAATGGACGAAAAAGCGACAAAAGTAAATGTGGAAAACGGTCAAAAACCTGCAAAGACTCTAATGTTCCACACTATTTTTCGGAAATGATCTCGGACGATATCACACAGGCCATCTTGGGGGCTAAATATGCGCCTACGGTAGGTAAAAACGGATGCAGTGTATGGCCTTCATATGTACATGCAACCACGCGGGCCGCCTTCAGTGTCATTCACATTCGCTTCATATCTTCAACTCGAGCAAGATGAGAGGTGCATACGAGCATCGGGTACGGACGTACATTTGCGGGCGAGGGGGGGGGGTGGGCGCCGTGTCGGTCGGTATGTTGTAGCTTGATAAAGCCTTATAAGAGTACCTTCCTTGGAAAAGGCGCTACGCAGCGCCTGCTCAGGGTCGCGGAATTCCATCCTGCCAGGCGTACTTAATCCTACTCGTCTTAGAGATTTATCGTGCCAACTGCCTTTGATCGCTGCTAACGCATCCAGGTTTCAGTGCTGGATTGTCTCTTTATGTGCATCATTAACTTTGAGGGAGGTGGCGTATTGACAGTTGGAGTGCATATCATGTGCATGACTGGGAGGACCCCCTTTCATCCGAACAGCTGGTACCGAGTGCCGTCGGGACAACCGCGTCTTCAGTTTCTCCGCGTGTGGCTGACTGGTACAAGACATTAGAAGAAAAAAAAACACTGAATTATACATCGATTGGGCTCCACAAATCATCATTCAGAATAAGCCGCCACCAAGATTCAGGATGGAAGCATAATGCGAGGCGCAGTCTAAATGAAAACGCTGAAAGCTCTTTTATTTGATGTGGTTTTATATAGGCTCCAGAATAATATTATGTGAGATATTTCAGAGTTTTCGCCTTCATTCTCGTCACTTTGACCAGGATCACTGGCTAGAAAAACTGGTATAGAGGCATTGGAGGCTTTTGATATTTCTAGATAGAGCAAAGATCGGTCCGAAGCTTTCAACTTGAAAATAGCAGTGCAGTTGCGGTGATATGTTTGCAAATATTTGGACGGAAACACTGTTTCTCCTCAGGAGCTATTCCCTTTCTTCAGTAAAGGAATAGTCACCCATCTTCTCATGAATGAATGTGGATTCTTGTGACCGTACATAAAATCGGCGGGACGAAAGAACACACGAAACGGCGAGATGATAAAAATAGACAGAAATAACACAGCGATTGAAGTGCATGGCTTGAGCATACGAACTTGACAGTAGTTGTTAGAGTTTACTGTTGGTACCGTTGCAATGAATCGGGGCGGTGTCAAGGAGCACGGAGTGAGCTCACTGGCAGCGTTTATCACCACTGCTTGTTTTCTGCTAAATCGAC